GCATAGTGTGTTAAAATACACTTTGGATTTGACATTTAACATAAATAGGATAACATTTATGCTTTTAAAATTTGTTATTTCACTGCTCTATTGTGTAGAAACTATTATATTTTCCTCATTAAAAAGCTAGTTGAATACAGTTCGAGTAATTTATTTGTTTTCCATTATTGTATGCAACTACATTTAGGATTTTTTTTTTTAAAAAAAAAAAAAAAAAAAAAAAAAAGGCAGACAAAAGCATGATTAACCCCCCCCCCCCTTTAACAAATACAATGCTATCAATATATTCGATTTTAAACAGAAACATCACGAAGACTTTAGTTTTTTATATATATTAGATTGGTGATGGGACTAACTCATGTTTTTCCATCATAAAAGCTTCTCAGTTCACTAACGTGAGCTAACGTTAGTATAGCCAGACAACTAACGGAACGCTACAGCTAATGCTAATTTTTTTTTAAAAAAGTACATAATTTACAAATGTTTGTTGCCGTTTGGCTAGTTAAAATATAGAGAATTAACCTAACTAAAGGCTGACTATATACTAAACGTACATTTTCAGCACATGCAGTAGTGGCCTTCGTCCTGCCTCTGAACCCTGCGTTAGTTTAGCTGCTGTTTGAGCAGGCTAGCTAACAGCAGCTAACTGCTCGGTGGCGCCCTCGCCCACTCTACCGCTACAGACTAAAACTCGGAGCAAATCAGGAGAAAACGTTTACTTCGGATTGATACAGCGGTTTCGCCAGAGTATATACCTCACAAGATGGATCGCTTCATGTTTTTCCCAGTTAGATTACTAAAAAAAAGAAACCACAAGCTCAACTGGTTCCAGACGAGTCTGGGCTATAAAGACATTCGTGATGGCCGTCGTTACGAGAGCCTCCCCCTCCCGATCATTAAGCTAACATTTGTTAGCATCCCAGCACTGGCTAACACTGACGCTGTAACAATGCATAAACCCGCTTTACTTCCTTCTTCGACCGTACGTTTACAAAATGAGCACACAGACATCCAAATGCATGATTAACATTACATAAACACTGAAAACTATACAATTTTTCTACGTACCAGCTTTGCTCGCCGACGTTTTCTGCACCGTCTAGTTTACAAACACAGGAAACGCCACAGGATGTAGCCCACTCCCCCACACAGCAACAGCAGCAAACCCTCCTCAGCCGAAGAGAAAGGGCTCATCTTCTTCCAGCTCCCCGAGAAGCCAGAGTGGTGATCAAGCTGAAACGGCAGAAAAGACTGTTAGTCCATTATTATTCCTGATGTGGAGACGCCCACCACCGCGTTAAGGTTGATAAATGTTGTTTGGGGGGTTGAGGGTTGGGGGGTGGGGGTCTTCCTGGCCTCTCTCTCAGCTCACTGGAGATTCAGACCACGTCTGAAGAGGCGCAGATGAAAAAAAAAAGGGGAGTGAGCTCTTAAAATGACAGAGAACAGGGACGTGTGTACAAACACTGGGGAGTTAGAGTAGTTTTTATGCTGCCCTTTGCCCTTTTGGATTGAATCATCTACATACACAAGCCTGAGCAGAGATAGCAAGATTAGTGATCAATTAATTATTATATCATTGGACTTATATTTCCTTTAAATTGTGCCACATTTATGTGTTAGAAAAACTAATTTGTCGGTTGCACACATGAAAAACAATCTAAATCCTTCCTACCAATGCCAGCCATCTTTGCAATGAATAGTTCACTTAACGAACAGGGCCTCCATAATGTGTTGAAGAACTATGGCTAGTTATTGCCAGTGTGGCTGTGTTGGTCATTATCTTCCAAACTAATCCTACGAGCGGTCAGAGCTGCAGAAAGCTTTTATGTTATCTCCACTTTCAAATTCTTCAGGTAGTCGGATAAATTCTGAGCATTGACATGTTGGAGGATTAAATTAATTGGATTGCCACTGGTTTCAGAACCCTAGTTTGATAGCTCTGCGTTGAGATTGCAGCCAATGATCACAAGCTTTGTTTTTTCCAGCATCACACTTCCTTTACCAAAAGACATTTGGCATTGGCAGAGGGCATTTGGTCAGCTGTAGATGGATACAATCAGCTTTATTTCCTTTGCAAACATGGAACCATTTAAAGGGAACTAAACTGGCTTCGATTTAGTGCCAACAAAATGCTCAAAGATATTACCTGCAGGTTACATAATGGCTCCATACTTTGGTTTTTACGCCAGGTCTTAGTATCTTTGGCAGAGTGGGGATGTTTCAGCTCCTGCTGGAAAAGGAAACCAGCCTCTTTATGCAGCTTGTCAGAAGAGGAAAGCATGAAGTGCTCTATAACTTCCTGGTAGACATAAATGCTCAGTAAAACACATTGGACTGAAAACATCTCGGATCTTGTGCCTCGCCCCTCTCTCTCCAGACTCTGTGACTTTGATTTCCAAATAAAATGCAAATTGTACTTTTGTCAAAAGAGAGAGAGAAGGGATGATGTGTGACGGGGCAGTGTTAGGAAATTTGATGTTTAATTGGTTTAATGACACGCCAGAAGATCACGGACTGCTTCTCCACATTTTCACTGACAGCCTAGAAACAGCATGCTGAGATTAGCTTCATTATAAAATAATTTTCATGTAACTCTAAAATAGCCACTAGTTATATGTTCTTTTGATTTTTTTTTTTTTTTTTTTTGGTCATTTTAGAAACGCCATCAAAAAATCTTAAGCATCAGAAAGTTATATTGATGACAAATCATCTTGCAAAAGTGGAGAATAATTGAAACAAAGTGTTTTGGTGGAGTAGGATCTCTGGTGTATACTTTCCAAAGCAAATGTAGCAAAATCCAACATCGCCTGTGACACCGCCATTGAACATTCTCAGCATTATGGTGCCACATTAAGCTGTTTTTATTTGTTTGAGAGCATGCAACAAGAGGCTTCTTTGAGAAAGGAAGTTTGTATTCAGTTCTTCTAATAAATTCAAAGACATACATTAGATGTGTTGCAGTTTGCATTAAAAGCTGTTGGATGTGTAATTAGTCCAATTCAGAAACAACCACTGGAACACACAAAGGACAAAAGGGGCTCAACCAAGGGAGAACTTTTCTTCGTTCAAAGAAATCTCTTCTTATTTAGAAGGCAAATACCATGCAAACATCTAACTAACTCCATCCTTTACTCCCCACCCAAAAAAATTTGCTCTCTTTTGGATGTTCTTGATGAGAAGGAGAATCCACAAATGTGTTTGTTTTAACGGGTTTTCAGTTGCGTCAGTGTTGGCCAAGCATTCATGGGTCCTTATGCAGGATTCACTTGGGGTGGTCACTCCCGGTTAAGCATATCACCCTCCTGTCACCACAGAAACCACAGTATTTTTTTGAGTCTATCGAAGAATCATGATTTGTGCACTTAACACAACGCATTTTGAAGTTAAAATTGTGAGACTCGACACTGTAGTGATACATTTCACATTATATTGTAATAATTAATTTATAGTTAATACGATTTTAGATAGTATTTTTGAATTAGACAGCTGCAAATGTTTTTTTTTTCTTTGACTATTACATGTAAAATCCAAATATTGTACTGATAAAATGGATTTCTAATACAAATGTATGTCATGGTTTACAATTATTTGTACAGTGGTCTGCAGAAAGCCATAAAGAACTGCCATAGGGAGGCTAGGACACAAAAGCTCATTGTCAAAGAAGTTGGCTGCAAACAGAGTGCTGTAGGCAAGAATAATAATGGAAAGCTGAGTGAAAGGAAAAACTGTAGTAGACAAATAAGCATAATAATCAACAGGGATAACTAAATCCTCAACAGAATTGTGAAGCAAAATCCATTCAGGAGTTTGGGGAGATAAAAGGCCTGTACTACAGCTCAATTTAGGAGCCGTAACCCTAACCATGATATTGGTCCAAAGCCTGTGCAGCTACTGATAAACAAATCTTACAACATGCTTTATGGAGATGCTGATTTGATTTCCCAACAGGACTTGGCACCTACACACATAATTACTAAGCTTTGGTATCACTGTGCTTGACTGACCAGCAAACTAAAGCTAGTTAAACACATTAGGAAGATAATAATCACCAGAATCAACAATGCAGATGACAAAAGCTGAGCTTCCTAACCAGCTCAGCAGAACCACAGGTTGATCTCCTCCATATTACGTTCTGCCTGGGGAGTATGACGACGTATTAAATTACAGAATAATAGGCTGAATTTTCTGTATTTAAAAAATCCCTTTCTAATCTGTGTTATATAAGAAGAAGTTATATAATATTTAAATTTTCCGAGTAAGGAAATTTGAGGTTTTTTTTAAATTATCTGTCAGTCATAAATATCCAACAGAAATGCAGGCTTGAACTATATCAGTGTGTTATAGATCTATACAATAAGAGTGACTCTCTTTGACTCAAACTGAAATAAATGAACATTTTAATTCTTGACATCCCAAAGCATAACATGTGACTAAGCTAAAAAGATAAGTAACAACTATTACCTTTTAGCTCCCCAATGCTGCCTCGATTATTTATTTATTTATTTATTTATTTATTTCTCCTTTTCTGTTATGTCTGTATGGCGATTTAAATTTATTTTATTGATTTTTTTCTCTTTTTTTTGGAGAAGCTATGAAAGTTTCGCAAAATGAATGTAATGTGAAGAAATTTATAATGTTCTGATAAATAACGATAACAAAACCGAATGGAAGTGCTCTTGCTGGTTTAGGGATCCAAATTAAAGGCGTAGTTCACTTATGAGAGGCCCCATAGGCCAAAACCTACAAACTCGGCTTAGCGTGCATTGTTCATTTTTGTCACTCCCCCACCCACATCTCCCCCACCCCCTTCCCACACTCCCCGCCGGCTCCCTCCCCCTGTCATGGAGACGGTTGCTACACTCCGTTTATCTTATCACCATCAGACTGCCTGTTGACTTTTAACATTGGGAAGTGAGCAAAGCCACCTGTTCTCAGGAATTTTAGCCTGCGCGCACACACACAAACAAAACAAGCAAACAAAAAAAAAACCCTCCCAGGTAAGTGTAACGTTATGCCTCAGGTCATTGGTGGAGCAAGTCACGTGATCTGCCTCTTCCACTCACCTTTGCGCTCACTCCTCCTCCGCGCTGTCCACTCCGGGCGGTGTCGCGGCTCCAGCAGCCAGTGTCAGGTGTCTGGCAGGTTTTCTCACAAGCTTTGGCTAAACGGAAGTTCCCACAGGTAGGAGCAAATACATGTTAGGACGGGGGGACATTCACTAAACAACTAACTAACTCTTATCCAAAGCAAAGAGGTATGTTTGGAAGATTTGAGTTCGTATATTGCTAACATTGACGGAAAGTTTAATACACGTGTTTTGCGTTGTAAGAGCAGCTTGTGTGTTTCTGTTTATTCACGACTTTCCTTGAAGTTAAACGACTGTGCTCTCGGTTTGCGTCATCTAAACGTTACAGCCTATTTTACCCTTTTCTCTTCTAGCCACCATGAAAGCTAGACCTATAATTAAAGTATTTCAGATGACATGTTGGCCTCAGAGCTGGGCCGCCTGTCTTCAAGTTATTCCTCTTTATTGCATACTTCAGTAATGACTCTGTAGTTCAGAGTCACTCATTCTCTCCTGAACACCTGACTGAGGCTCTTGTATTAATTCATAATAGATCAATTATGCATTAAGCAAGGAGGACTGCTCCTTTTCTCTGACTTAGCAAGTGTCCAAATGTGCTGTGGTAGCTTGTTGTCATAGCAAAAACCTATGAGGGTGTTACATCAGCAATGTAGAAATCAAGGGTATTGAGAACGTTTATGATTTTGTTTAATTATAAAATCCTGAAGAATTTACGGGATTATGTAGGCTGTCATCTTGTCAAGCCTTTCTTTACTTGTGTCTCATTCCCCTGCTGAGACAGGGCAGCCGCTGTGGACGCTTTCGCAACATATGATGCCACTGACTCAGTCAATGCTCCTATTGTGAGCTTCTCGCTGGAAAAATGCTGCTCACCTTTGTGGATTTTTGGAAAATGAAAATGAAGAAACTTCTGGTCATGTGATCTGGAGCTGATAAGGTGACACAGAAACGATTTTTATGACTCACTGTCACAAAAGTGATTGAGACGGCTTTTATTGCCGCGGGCAGCCAGAGTTACATGCAGCAGGGATTTTTTTTATTTTTTTTTAAATGAAATATCATTGACCGTGTATATAGTAATGCAGTTGCACGGGAAACTAGAAAATCCCCCAAAACTCACAAGAGAAGACGAGGAGCATTAGTAGAACTGAGAACAGGAGGATCTGACAAAAGGAGTGATGATTACTAGAAATAGAAACAGTAAACTGAATACAACACACAAGGACAGCATGTTTCAGGAGCACACTAGTTTACAAGAACAAACAATGAATAACTATTAATACATAATAATAAAAGAGAACTAATACTATGAATGAATGATGCGTATAATAATTAAGTAACAACAGATCTAGAATCCATGTGATTGGGACAGTTTTACGTTCTGCTGTCATGATAACCCTCAGTACAAATAAACCAGGTTCTTGGTAGCACAGCATTTAAAACATTTCTTAAGACGAATGGATAATATTATCTAATTTCTTTTACTTGAAGTAGGAAGGCAACCATTTCAATATCAGTGTGATTCACAAAGGACTGATTGTAGCACAGTTATTGTTGCCTGATGTATTCCAAGCATTTTGAACTTATATTTTTAAGGCTATCGTAATAATTACCCAGTTGTACAGGAGTCTCATGGCAGCAGATGGTCACTGTGGATGTAAATGAAAACAAAGTTAACAAAGGTGCTATTTTATGGAAATGTACAGATCCAGTTTTAGTTAATTCAAATTGATAAAATCTGCCATAATGGGTGTGTCTGTTAGTCTTCTGCCTCTCTGACCATCTACTTACTTTGTGATATGGTATCTTTCTGTTACAGGTAATAGAAAGATGCCACACTTCCAAAAATCTAAAATATCACTTTAAGCAAAAGATAAATGCTAATAATTATAATAGAATGACATCAAATTGTAGCTAAAATTCGTTTTCAAGCGCTCATCGCACAGAGTTGCATGCCTTTCTGCTGTTCTGCTCTTCATAGTGTAAAACAGACAGTTATTAGCTTGTTAATTAGTAGGGCTACCTGCTCAGGTAGCCACCCTGCATTCAGCTGCTTAAGACGAGTTTTACTGGGCTTGGTCGAAATGATCACAGTGCCTTAAGGCCTTGGCTGTATGTAAACCACAGCTTTGCATCAGTTTTAAGTCTTAATTTGCTTAATTTATTTTCTAAAATAAAAAACATTAAGGCTGCTTTTGCATGCCTTACAAGCATGACCCTATCTTACTCTTAACCGCTTTCTATTAACGTGGAAAAACCAGAGGATCTGTACTAAAAATTCACTCCATTAATATCTGGAATTACAGGTCGGACGCCCATGTACCTTGTCTTGTTCATTGTTTCGAAATCCTCGGGCTTTTTAAGATTTAAGTCGAATAGGTGACTTCCCCAGGGTGTGTCTCCTGCTTTGCATGAAGGAAATGACTCCAGGCTTAAACCAAGACCTGAAGCAAACAGATGAATGACAACAAAAAGAACCCGATCCAAGTGAGCCGGTTTAGCACTGGTATCAAACAGCATACAGGATGACGAAACGAGCCACGCTGCCTTCAGATCTGAAGTTTGTGTCAGTAATAAGTCGCCTTAAGGAACGTAAACATAACATTGTAACGCTCGTTCGTGAATATATGTTTGGATGTTTGTTCATATTTGTCAAACGTAATATAGAAATCAAAACTTTATCTATAGAGTAGATTGAAGTAAACACAAATAAATAGATCAAATTTGGGCTAAAGTGAAAGAAGGACTGTTTATTGACTGCTTTTAAATGAGGGGTTGGAGTTCGGTTCAAAGTCCTGGAAGTTGTCGGCAGCGCTGCCGTGCATCAGAGCGATGATGTAATCCTCTAGGTGCGCCACGGCGAACATGACCACAGCTGAAGTGATTGTTAAAGTAAAACTCTGTAGATGGCAGTGATTTACGAGATCCTGCTAACATTTTACAGACATGTTGAAGCCACAAACGTCAATTTATTTATTTTATTAGCATTCTAGGTGTAAGTGGACAAACTGCTAAGTAAATAAATCAAACCTTTAAGGCATTAGCAGCTCAGGTGTGAATTTGAGCATCTTTGATGGCACAAATACATTTTCAGCGAAGGAGACTCAGATCTGTGTTTCAGTTGGAAATACTATCCTATTTATAGCTGCAGTTATTGTCATAATTGACTCATTTTTACCAATAATCGTCCCCACAGTGTGACTCCAGCACCATGTTTTACAGTGGATATAATGTGTATTTACCTGAAATTTAATCTTACAGTGGTGGACTTTATTGATTAATCAGGTGACCTGTGAAGACATTTGGTTTGAGTTTCGTTTTGGGATGTTAAAGTAAAAAAGGGGCTAAGTAAGCACGCTCTTCAGATTATTAAAAACGTTTTTGTAAACTAAGTTTCTTTTTCTTCTCAATAGCCGTCGTCCTCTTTGTGTTGGTCCATCACATAAAATCCCTATGAAATAAATTGAAGGTTGTTTGTCATGTGATAAACTGTGAAATGTGTCAGGCGGTGTGAAGACCTTTGCAACCTACAGTAGCTTTAAGGATTGTAAGATATCCTCTTTGTTTTCTTTTGGCCCGTCTGTCCATGCAGAAATTGCGGAAAGGTTCATCATTTGACAAATAAACCACATCTAAAGACAAAGGCTTAGTCAAAGTGTAATTAAGTGAAAGTGTAATTTTGGTTTCACACTCATCTCCTGTGACACATTGTCACCACTGAGCCGCGGCCACTTGTTGTGCGAACGTACCTGCTCTCTGTTGCTTTCAATTTGTGTTTTCCCTCTTTGCATTCATGCAACCTGATCTGAAGAACAAGTTCCAACACGTCGACTCGTCTGTTTGCATGCACAACTGAACGAGCACAAATATGTGCATTCAGTCGTGGGCCGTTTTGTTAGGGAAGTTTGTGCTATAAACTTGCAAATGAATAATCGTAGACAGAAAACAAGTCCAGCACACACAGTGCTGGACTCTTCCGTCTGATGCAAGAACAGGTTCCAGACTAGTTTATCCGTTCCAGTAGAAACTGTAATCTTAATAACCGAGAGCCAGAAAGACGCACCAACCGTCAACAGATACGGGAAAACAAAAGGGAGCATCCTGTTGATTATGAATTATTTTTGTATGTTTATTTCCTGCATGCTAGGTGGCTAAGTGTTACTCTGAAATTAATCTTATTTTAGTGATTTTATCCTTTATTATTTTTGTACATATGTTTCATGTACCTTTGTAACACACTATCTTTCTCAGTTTGATTATTTGATTACTTTCTTTTCTAAAAGCAGCTGTTTGTGCAAAACAAAAGTTGTCAGTTTTGGCTGAAATGTTTTTGTAAAATAAATGTTTAGTCTGTGTGGCATTTTTATTGTGAATTAAAGGTTAATAAATAAATAAATTTATGGATTTGGTGCCTTCCAAAAAATATTAGTGCCTGGGACGTTTTTAACATTTTGTTACAACCAGACACTTTGATGTTTTTAATCGGGATTTATGTGACATAACAACATGAAGTTCTGCTAATATTAAGTGAAAGGAAAACTATGCAGATTCGCATGCATTTTCTTTTACAGTGAAACCCCTAAATAAAATCCAGTGCACCAAGTTTTCCTCAGAATTCACCTAATAGAATAACAGCATAAGTTCAGCTGGTCTGTCAAGTTCTAACGTGACACATTGTGAAAACGTTAAAGGGATGTAACGAAGGCTTTTGCAGGCACATGCATCATATCACATTGCATTGTTCTGCATGCTTTGCATTACATGTTGTATTGCCTTGGATTTGTTTCACATCATATCAAATAGCATCGCAGACTATCTCGGGATATCGCCAGACTCTCACAATCATATTGTGTCACTGTGAATCATTTCCCGTTCTAACACTTCTTAACGTTATTCTTCAACAAATACGAGGCATTAATAATTACATAAGACAATCTTTTTTGTTTTCTTTTATTTTCTCTATTTCCCAAAGCCTTGTGGTATAAAACAAAGAAATAGATTTCTAGAAATAGGTTACTAAGAAACATGTTCAGATGTGTACTGAATGTGTTTGTGGCTTTTATTTTTTTCTTGCTTCAGGTTGACAGCCATGGAGAACGGCTCATTTGTTCGGGGCTCCAAGGCGACGCAGTCCTTGCGTATCACCGCCAAGGAGCTGTCGCTCGGCGGGCGAGGGAAAAGCTCTGGCCTTGCAAAAATATTCTCCAAGTGGGTAACATTTTAGCAAAGTTTGGGAGTGATTTTTACTTTTAGCATCTGCCTTTAGTACAGATGGAGGTTAAAGTAAATTTTAGGACGTGTTAAATATGACTGAATAGTTTATGATATCCTCTTGCTTTTACAAATGTAAAATCTTAAATGTTTTTGTTTATATTTCGGGTACATCTGAAATTATGATCAGACCTCTAGATGTGTAACATGTATAATGAATGAATTGTCTGTTGACTCTAATGAAATATGACCGATTATTGCCAACTAAAACCACATTTCCTTACTGTAAATTAAAAGTGGACAATAGAAAATTACATCATACCACTCAGGCATGTAATGACCAAACCTTCCTGGGTCTAAAATGGTGAATATGCAAAACGACTAGAAGCCACTCCGACCAAGAGAAACCTGAACAGCAAAACAAAAACACCCTGGTTATCTGCAGTTTACTCAAGACCATGTGGGAAGGTTGTTTAAATGTGTTTGGTAGATGATAACATGTTATTGTGTAAGTGGGAAGTGTTCTGTTTGGAGAAATGATAGCGCAGATTTCCAGATTCAGACCGTTATCATGGTGGAGGCTGGATTCACATGAATGTAGTTTTGTGTACATGGACTGGCTCCACCAACGAGGTTAATTCCAGTCAATGTGAGAGAATAATGTGTAGAAACTACACATAAGTTAGAAATAAATAAATAAAAAAAAGGGTATTTTTTCCTGTGTCCTTTACATAGCTAGTAAAACTTGTTTAATCATTGAAAGCACTGGTGTCTGTTTCCAGAATGTCAACATATAACATTAAAATAAGCACATGAACAGTTTTTCTTTGCATACGTTGTAACTTAAAGCGTTTTCCCAACATTTTAAATCAGAAAACATAAAATGTGTGTATGCTCTGCATTGTTGTGAGTCAGTGGAGGTCAGTGTTGTTTCCTTGCCCTGCAGGTACCAGAAGAATGCAGAGAAATCCAGTGCAGAGAAGAAAGGAGTGAGTATTCCTCTTAAAGATGGATCATACCCAACAGTGACACGTATGTAAAATTAGGTGGTGCTAAGAAAACATTCACAGATCTTTGCAGATTATTGGGAGTTCATGTGAAACACCGACACAAAGTTACTGGCTTTTTCTGAGAAACTTTGTGTCCATTTCTATTCAGCCTCTCTGATCCCAAACTTTGTAGGAACTCCCCATCCACTGCGGTTACAGCTGCAAACCTTCCGAGTTATGTTTCTACAATCTTTGCATATTTGGAGACTAACAGTTTTGTCCATTTGTTTTTCTAAAATGCCACAAGCTCAGTCAGTCAGACAGGATAGAGAACATCTTTGAACATCTTTTTTCTTTTAAAATTCTCAATTAGATTTAGGTTTCTAAGACATGGCTGCTTAGATTTCAGTGTAGCTTTGGCTGCATGTTCAGAGTCTCTCTGTCCTGCTGGAAGAGACAGCAGGACAGCTGCTGACATTTGGACACTATTAAGAGGATAACATATTATTGTGTAGGTGGCTCTTCTTGACTGTACGGGAGTTTATTTACAGTTATCAGCATAAAGAGAGCAGAATAAAAATGGAGGTCACATATTTCAGAATTGTATTTGTTTAAAAAAAGTTGAAAACCATGCATATCCTGAGCTTGTTGCTTCAGGATTAGGTTGGTCAAGTCCAGCAATATAAATCGAAAAGCTTGACAACTTTTTAGACGCATCTTTGCTCCAAAACACCTGAATTAAATGAGTGGCTTGTTACGAAGCCTCTGCGAAGCTAAAAATATGCAGATGGGCAACCCTGCGACAAAAAATCCCAGTAAAATGCAGTAAAGTTTTAACTTCTTGGGAAACAGGTGAAGCTCTGGAGGTGTGAATGGTTTTACGAGGCGCTGTAGTGACCCAGTCCTTCGTTGGAAGACAGGGATTAAGATCTTTCATCTAAAGACTAAACAAACAAGCGGATTAATGTGTAAATTACCATTTATTTTGCCCCTTCGTCCGGGGTGGGGGTCATACAAACTGTGTGTATGTGTTCTTGCTTGTCTCTCTTGATTTCCTCCGTTCCTCTCATGTGGCGGTAACCTAATTAAAGTTTTTAAGAGATGAGGAACACACACACACAAACGCATTGAGTCCTCATGCTCACACACGGCCGCGTCTTGCCCTGTCCCAGCTGACCTCTCATTGGCTACTTGTCGCGACAGGCGAGCTATCGAACCCATAATCCTGCTCCAGTGTAATCCCCCCACCCCACTTGTAAAACTCATTGAGGCTCCACGTGCAGGTTTGGCTGATGTGTCAGAGCGAAAGAGCGATAAACAAACCTGGACCGAGATCAGATGAGAAACGGATCAGAGAACGTCATGAGGAAACACAAGGTACTGTTGTACAGTGTGATTACAGGGTCCGTTTCCCCAGCAGCTATTTGGAGAGACTGTAGGCATCTTCTTTCTTTAATGCTCTGGGTGGTAAAGACGAAACCTGATCTAAACCTGCTCAGATGTTGCTGTAATGATAGGAGCTGAATTCTCACAGAGCACCGCCAGCTGTAATCTAAACCAATATTTAGTGTGAATCAGGTTAATTATTGTTTTTCAACGTCTTAACGTGTGTTTGCCTTCCTGATACGAGTACATTAAAGTGGAGCGTCAGATGAATTATTTATGAATAACACTTGTGGTATGATGTGTCTGAGCTTAGTTTTGAATGAGCACTGTGAAAGACCATCTGTTTGTGTGTGTGTGTGTGTGTGTGTGTGTGTGTGTGTGTGTGTGTGTGTGTGTGTGTGTGTGTGCGTGCGTGCGGGGGATGGTGGGGAGATAGTTGGGGGATGGGAGTTTTTGTCAACACGTCCAGCAAATACCAAGTCCATCTTTTATTATGTAATCAAGAGACAGATTGTTATAAAGAATAAGATTTCTGGATTTTATTCTGTTGTGACTTGCAGTAATTTATTAACCCCAAATTAAACTTTATTTGAAGGGGAATGCCGGCAGGATACCGTCATAAACATGACATAACACCTGACATGAACATGAAGGAGTCTTCATGAATGTTTATGAATGTTCTCATGAAGTGTCATTTGGTAAATAATGACGCTTTTAATGAAAAGTTGACACTTTTACTGGACTTTTAATGCAAATTTTAATAGAATTTTGCATTAAAGGGGTCATTATTGTCCGAGTAATGCAAAGTTTACACTTTTAGTGCAACTTTGCATTAAAAGTGTTATTATTTACCAAAAGACACTTAATGACAACATTCATCAAGACTCCTTCATGTTCACTGCAGGTGTCATTTTTATGACAGCATCATGTCAGTCTTATGTACACACCTTCAAATAAAGTGTTACCAACCAGTTAACCTAATTCATTACATAAATGAAATGATTTAGTCTTTTAATTATTTATGGGCCTTTCCAACTTGTTGCTCAAGAAAGGAAAGCTTGAAAGGCAGAAGAACAAAGTCAACATTCAGATTTATTTCTGCTTTGAAGATGATTTACAGCCTCATTACCCAGTTTAACAACACGATGTTCAGCTCAGCCTTTGTTTCTGACGGCTCATCAGACAGGTATCTCAAAAAGACAACAAGATAACATAAAAGTAGTTTCTGTTTCTAAATGGGTGTTGAAGGTTATTTTTAATCTCGTCATTATTGCATGAATCAAACCCTCATGACTGCTGAGCAGCATTCTCCATGTTTCCGCTGGTGTTTTGATGAGTTTTCTTTGGCGATGAGCTCAAAGTCTTTGAGGTTGGAAAGCCTCTTTGCCATCACCCTAATCTTCAGCTCCCTACACAGACTCTCAGTCTCTGGCTGAGCCATTTCAAAATGATAACATTAGTTCCAGGCAGAAGAAACATATTGGTAAAATTAAAAGATTATTTTTTTCCCCCACATAATATTAATACTTTATTACCTGGAATATGAATAATTTTGGCAGGAAATTCTTCTTTTGGTGATTGTATTTTGGAAGATGGTTTGTCTAAGTCTGGGGTCTGCAGCCTCTGTATTCGAAGGCGCTTTTGTTCCTTCTGTCCAGATAAATAAAAGTTATTTAGGGCTGAAATGCTACCAAAAGACTGCTTATAATTTTTGAGAAATCTCCTCTTTAGAAAATATGATTTTGCAACAACAACAACAAAAAATTATATTTTTAAGTTTTAAATCAAAGAAAGGATACAGTTTTTTTCTATGGAATGTTGATTGTTGTATAAAATGCGATGAAAAGTCATTTGTTATATATTTACACCTAATGTCTGTACACTGTGAACGCTTGAAGTCAAAATAATTTTTTAGGCACATAATTTTGTTTTCTAAAAGCTGATAAAGACAAAACACATAGTTTCCCCCCCATTGACATATCCCCCCCCCCCCCCATAAAATTCTTACTGGTTGTTTTTTGAGTCATTCTTTTGTGGATGTTTACAGCAATTATTCTATCAAAAAATCTGAAAAGCTGCATGTGTTATTATATGTATGTCTAAGTACATCCGTTGGTTCTTTATTACCAAGTTGCAGACTCCTGGTTTAGTTTCTTGTTAACAAATGCTGTGTGAATGCAGTGAGTCTGTATTGATCTTCTGTCTCAAGCTGTGTTCCCAAATTAATGCCGTAGGTTTTATTAGAAATTGATGTCTCATGTTGCCGTGTGGTTCAGACGCACCAAACATGGAGGCTGCTGTCCTTGGCACATTTGTCCTCGGTCTGATTTAGTGCTTCTCCTTCTCTGTTTGGCCTTTCTCCTCTCAAGCTGCTAATAATGAGTAAAGGCCACAGGTGGCAAAAACATTAAGCAAGAGTCAAATCTGTTTGAGAATATTTTTAAACAACTTTCAAGTACTATAATTATTGGTATTGAGCCTCCTTTACTCAGCTGCTTCTAAATAAAATCCACCACAACAACCTTTCTTCAAAAGTCACCTTTGACAGAGTTTAACTTCTCTCTAACACATAAAGTCCTTAAATAAAATAAAATACGCTGAAGTCTCTGGGTGTGTTGGGACAATATATGATCAATTAAAGGGGCTTCTTCTGTTTAAGCCCATTTAATCTTTTTTTTTTTTTTTTCATTTTTTAAATAAGTTTTTTCACAAAATAAGGCTGGCATGTGTATAGTGGATTACATGGAAATATGGCTGCTCTAATTCCAGTTATAAAAAGTCTTTTTGTTTACCAGGGTAGGTCATTTTTGTGCCTTTTCCATCACTTGTTTTATATATATATATATATATATGTATATATATATATATATATATATATATATATATATATTAAAACCTGCCACTGATTATGTGAAAACTTGCAGCTGCTTTCGAGGATAATTTAAGGCGGAGGATTCCATTTCCAGGACCGCAGGTCTGGCGTCCTGCATGTTTTATGGCTCGGCGCGTCTGATTTGAAAGCAGTGGGTCATTAACATCAAGCCTCTGCTCAACCTGACGACGAAAACCTGAAAGAGGGTTTAAGACACAGGTATCTGGTGGCGTCACTTTTGTGCATTACTTTAAAAAGAAAATCTCACTTTTGTGGCAATGAGAGGATTTTTTTTTATCAACAATTGGACACCAGTGGATCCAAGGATGTTGAATGGTTTAGTCAAAGTCCAGGTCAAACATAAAAGGAGAATCTGTTGTGATGTTCACAGATCCTCTCCGTTTTGCAAAGACAAACGAGCCAAAATTCAAATCTCTAGAGACGCGCCCCAAAAGACCTGCAGCTTTATTTAGGGGTGTCAGAGTAAAGGTGACGAAGATGCAAACCGCACTTTTCTGTATTTATTATTTATTTATATTTGCTTTGTAGAACATTTTGAAAACCAGGTATTTCTTCTATGATGCCTTACAGTGATTACAGTGATTTGTGTTGGTCTGTCTCATAAAATATTTGCTGTAATGACGTGACAAAAACATAAAAAACAAACATAATTTCTTAAGGTATTGTAGAGTCATAACACTGTAGAGCAGGGGTGTCCAAAGTCGGTCCTCGAGGGCCGGCATCCTGCATGTTTTAGTTCTCTATTGGTTGTAACAACCTCCTCAGCAAGTCAGAGTTCTGCTTAGGCCTTCTAACAGCCATCATTTGATGCAGGTGTGTAAAACCAGGGAGAGAACTAAAACATGCAGGATGCCGGCCCTCGAGGACCGACTTTGGACACCCCTGCTGTAGAGCTTAGGAAATGAGCAACTCTTCATGAAATACTCAACTATTTCTTTACGATTTAATTTTCCTTCCTGCTTCTTGCTTCTACTCTTTTAATCTGAGTGTTTTGCACCTTTCTGGCGAGTCGTGCTTTAATTCGAGGCTTTGGTAACTTTGTCCACCAACACTTCCTCAGAGGAAACAAGAAGTAAAACCAGGGAGGAAAGAGTTAACTTTTCCCGGAGCGTATCATTTCCTGCTCTGGTTTCCTGGGTTTTCTGACTCTGGCTCTCACTTTCCTGCCGTCGGAGCAGCGCCGGACCGGCTCGCTCTGGTAGGTTTTGTCTAGCCGCCCGTGTCACGCTCAGCTCGACCTTCTGCTGTCTCTCACCTCCTGAAGCGCGGAGGAAAACCAGCCTGGGCTTTCCTTGCTGTCTGGCTGTATTGACACCGATCCTGGCCGCTTCATCTCATTGAAAAAGGTTTCTTCTTCTTCTTTTCTACTCGCTTAAACAAAAAAAAATAAATCGGGAACAATCTCTCCGTGATCCGGTTGTCCATTCAGGCTGGCCTCGCGTCACAAAGACAGCAGTTGTGCCACTGCTTTTTGTTCTTTGTCGGGATTTTGTCACTTGCTCAAATCTTTTCCGCTGCGTTCTTTACTCTCTTTATTTTACACATAAGGATTCAGCTCGTTTGTCATCTTTAATAACTTGTAATTAATTGCAAGACATATTAAATAGTTTGGGGGTTTTTTTGTGGAAATTGTGCAAGGTTGTGGGCAGGAAACGTCATTCTGAAGTTCGTTTTGTTTTCTATGATTAACACATCTACATATTTTCCTGTCCGCATCCTCTTTGCTTATGTGTCACTTCTTTTCTACAATTGAGGAAGTTCCTGCCTGCTGAAGTGTGCGGTGCTCCTGCTGAGTTTTCCCCTCAGCTGTGACTAAAAGCAGACATTTCAGTGGTAAACGGAGCCGTCGTCTGTGGGGTTTAGGGGAAAAAAGTGAAAAGAAAAGCAGCTGAGTTTTCCGTCTCAGCTAATAAACCAGCATCTCTGACTTCAGGAGCCACATCTCTGCACTGGAGCAGCTTTGAGCAGCTGCTCACTTCATCTATGAGCCTAGCCAAGTTCAGAATCAGGCATTTCCTTCATTCCACCGCGTTAATCCGAGGCCTTACAGCTGTCTTTCTCCATCAGTTCGCCTGCAACCTAATAGTTCTTGTGACTAAATTTTTCTTTTTTTTTTTATTCAGTTAATTTCTCTTGTTTTTCTTGCAGGCCACTGATGGTGCTCCATCCTCTCTGCGCTCCGGAAAACTGAATTCCCTGAAGAATCAATTTGAAAAAGCAGTCAACCTAAACCAGGATAAAAAGCCTCCTGCTCCCCTTCCGAGCGGCTCCAGCATTCTCCGCTCACGCTCCGTCCTGACCAGGCCTGCTGCCATCCGCGAGGAGCCCGCCGCGCCCGTCAAGAACCAGGACCCGCACGCCGACAGGGGGGATCAGCGCGCAGCCAGACCCGAGCAGCAGCAGCAGCCGCCTGCCGCCCCGGCGGGCGACAAGCAGAGAGGGATGGACGGGGATGAGGCCGCAGACAGGCGAAAAGCCGAGCCGATCGAGGAGGAAGCTCCCACCAGCCCACTCGCCACTTTTGAGAAACCCAAAGTGCAGCTGACTGACCTGAAGATGAAGTTTGAGAAGGGAGAAGACGCTGCTGGACAGGTAAACCTGTTGATTTGTAAAAGTAGTAAAAGTCTAAACTTGATGGCGAGTGGAACATAACTCAGGTTTTTAGCTTGTAGTTAAGGTTACAATCTTATGGGTTTTTTTTGTTTTGTTTGTTTTTACAGCGTCTTGCACAACTATTCATACTCCGGGAGCTTTTATTTTCCACAAGAATTGTGTGATAAACCAACACGGTATATCTGCAAAGTGAAGAAATTTGCATATACAGTTATTAAAATATGCTGGACATTTGCATTTGATGTTTTCTAGAGTCAGCTTTTACTGCAAAAAATACATAAATACATTGATTAAACTGTAAATTACAAAGTGTTGGATAATTATTATTCATCGATGTGCGCTAGTTATGTGTTTGAGAACATAAGGTGTCATGTAGAGTAATTAAGAATTTACAGGTTATGCATTGTTTCAACAAATAGATATTAAGTTTCAATTCATCACAAGTCAAATCATTTCTGTCGTCTTTTCCTCATTTTTGAGCAGCTTTTACCTGCTGACAAGTAAACTTCTGTCCCGGCTTCAGATCTGAAACGTTTTCTCCCAGAACTGCCCTGCGTTCATTTAGCAGAAGCTGTCCCAGAGCATGCTGCTGCCACCGCCATGTTTCTCTCTTCATTATCCTGTTTGTTCAAACAAACAAACTCACAGACCTTCACAACACGGCTGCGTTTACACTAAGATTAAACGACACACAGCTTGACGCTATAATTAGCAGACTGGATGGACACACTTTGTGTTTTTAACATTGCAAATTGTTTCCCCTCCACATCATAACTACGCTCGGCTTTCTGATAGTCTGTCGTATAAAATTCCAATAAAACAGATTTTTTTGTTTTTTTTGGTTGTTGTGACTTGATCAGCTGTAGAAAAAGCAAAGGTCAAAGGTGAACATTCTTTTGCGAGGTGCTGTCCTGGTCAAAATGTCCGTGCACATTTCCCTTAACGTCCTTTCACAAGTTTAAAACCGTCCATATTTACTTTTTTCACTCCTTCCTGAAGCCCCTTTAGTTCAGTCACCAGTTTCTACCTTCCCCAGCTCCATTCTTTCGCTGCAGCTCTCTCTCTCTTTCTCTCTGACCAATAAAACAAGTCTCCCTCTCTTCAGCTCCTGAAACAGAGGAATGCAGACATTCCTTTCCAAGGCCCATCTCAGTCTTCATGGGATCGCCTCGGTAAAGCTGCTGTCTTTATCTTGGCGTTGTTAACACATTTAAAACCGAGAACCCATTTTCTTTCCTTCACTCTTTGGGTTTCTTTAGTTAATTCATCCCAGTATTTATGTTTGCTCAGTTTCCCTCTCATGTCATCATACTTAACCTGTTCTACTATTCACATTTATTCATCTCAACATCATCAGTAGGAGAGTTACAGAAATGTTTACACCCTGTGAAACTCTCAGCAACACGTGTTTTGAAACGACTCGCACCCCTTATTTTTCTTTGTGTGTGTTCAGAGAGAAACTATCATTAGTGTCAGAGCCGCGGTGCGGTCAGGCCCGTCCACGTTGTGTTTAGTGAAGGACGCATGAACGCTTTCAGATGCTTTGGCTGCAGGTCAGATGCGGGCAGGTGGCAGCCTTATCAGATAAGAGTCAGACATCTCCATCGCTTTTGTTCCACTTTTCTGATCTGAATGTTGTTTACGGTGCCAGGCAAAAGTTTTCGTACCTCCTGAATGTTTCTGTCTGTCTGTGTTGTTTTTTTTTACAACAGGAAACGTGAAAGTAATTCAAAGTGTTGCGAGCATTTGTACCGCAACAAATATTTAAACTCGAATGCATCCACAGCTCATGATCCACTGACTTGCAGGTTCAATTGCTGCCAAGTGTTACTGAACTTTATTTTTCAGTAGAGTCGATGCTAAATGCACAGTTTTCAGATTTCCATTTGTTAAAGTGAAGTTTTGGCTGTAATGTGACTAAATACAGACTAACTAATGTACTTTAGTTATTGACACAGAAATTAATGCTAAAAACTTTTTCCAATGTGACTATATTAGCTGAATTTTATTTTGTGTTTTAATGTTACCACTTCATTGTACAAATGTTAGTATATATACTTGGATAAAACGTGAAAATTCAGGTTCTGGACATCGAACTCGTTCAAAGAAAGCTTGATGACCTGTGGCATGTTTTGTTAAGTTTAATCTGGAAATCGTTTGGGTGGCGTCTCTCACTGTCAACCATTGCAAAACCAGACCCACTTCTACAAAACTGCAGAGTAGTGCAGGCAGAGATGAGTAACACTTAAAGTGCTCTCCTCAGCAGATTAAGGAAGGAGAACCGGGCCTGGCTCATTTAGCTCCACTCCTAAAACCCGTTTCCCCTCCTTCAGGTCGGCAGGTCGACGATTCGCAGCACTTCGTCTGAAGACTCAGAACGTCCTAAAAGTAAGCAAATGATTTATTTCTATCAGCATTTTTTATTTTTATTTTTTACATCTATCAACCTCAGTTTATGAAGATCCACACCTCTGCTTCAGATTCGTCTCCGCTGACCCGCTCTGCGTCTGTGAGGGTGAATAAGGCCAAGTATGAGCTGAGTGTCGCTAAACATAACGCCGGCTGCTCTGTGAGTTCAGCACGAGATACATTTCAACTCAGTTGAAACAAACAACAGAAATATTTCTGCTATGTTTTGATCGTTTGAAACAAAATCGGTGGAGTTCAAGGTTAATGTTCCCCTGCTGTGAATGCAGTTAGTCTACATTCACAGCAGAGGCTGTTTCCTGCAGGTAGTTTCTGTGCAGTGACAAGAAAACTGTGGTGCAGAAACAGCTGGGAAAAAATCAGGTTTGAGTGTTAGGGAGTGAGCCTTTCTTTACATTGCTGAAGGGGCATCATCAATAGGAAAGACATGACTGCCTAAAGTATGCGATGCTAACACTCGCACAGCAGTCACCACGCTCTCTCCTTCGAGGATAAATGTCACAAGTGAGTTTTGTCATGCAAGATGCTGTCTCAGAGTTTTCTGAGCTAGCATCGTCATGAAAACAAGATTAATGATTAAATTGCTATTGAGAAAAATAAGGGATATTTATTTATTTGACAGGAAAGTGGGTAATGAGAGAAGGGGGAAGACATGCGGCAGAGGTCGCCAGGGGTCGCATGTGGGTTGTGCTTAACCCCTGCGTCACCACAGCAGACTAGAAATGCTCTTAAACCACACATTAAAACTGCCTTCATCAAAGATCAATCGTACGTCTTGTACTTTGATCTGACCATCCTGTCTTTTTGAATTGATATGATAAAACTAGTTTTAAACCAGTTCAGCTTTTGTTACTCGGTTTCTTTCTCATGGAGATTGTTCTCTTAAACTAGTACTGTGGTTTCTATTGTGTTTTCACCAGACCGACCAACCAAAAGGGACTGCTATAAGGAAATCTGTGTCCATGAGAGTCAAACAGACTCCAGCAGCAGAGTGCAATGGTAACGCTTTCCAGAAACCAGAGGAAAACATGAAAAGGCCTCCAGCAGCATCACAGCTGATTCTGAATTTTCTCTCTTTTCAGGAGAAGGAACTGAGCAACCCAGAGCAACCAGGGTGCGGCAACGTGACAATGTTCTTACTAAAATCAACTTTTCACTCTTTGTTCTCCATGAATGCATTCGATTGGTTTTGTTTTAGCAGACGTTTCGCGTACCAGAGACAACAAAATGCGCTGCCTGTCAGAAAACGGTGTATCCTCTGGAGAAACTGGTGGTTGGTGAGCACACTTACCACAAAAACTGCTTCGCCTGCTCTCACTGCAGCACAAAGCTGAAGTAAGCTGCCGCACTTGGATCTGCTGTTGTATTTATTCTTGTACGAAGATAGAAGAGATTAGTCCAGACTCTTGAATGTGCTTTGCTTCACAATCCCTCAAATTCTGCAGTTCATCCTGTTCTGCCACACTTTTTCCTTCCACATAACTTTCCATTTGTGTGCTTATTTGCTCACTGTCTAGTCAGCAGTCATCCGCTGAATGGGTTGAATTTATCATTTCTGTTTAGCTTAAAGAAAATCTTTGTTTTTGGTCTTAGGTAGTGATTTCATTTTAACGAGAAACTGACTTCTGGTTTTTATAACGGCAACAACCAAACTGTAGCAGAAAAAAAAAATCCCCATTTGTATTGAATTACTAAAATTAATCAACTTGTCAATGACATTCATTTATTACTTACATATATGCATACAGCCATATATGTGTGATTTGTTTGAAATAAGACAATAAGAGTAAATGTATTTATTTCTTACCAATCTCGTTGCTGTGTCTCTTTCTGTCCTTCCTTCCTTCTTACCTCCTTTTTCTGCTTATTTTATTTTTTTCCATCCATTTCTAGTCCTTCCTTCTGCATTTTCTTACTTCCTTGTTTTTTTCTCCCTTCCTTTCTTTCTTTCTTTCTTTCTTGGCATTCTGGAAGTCTTTTTTATGAAATGAATTTTATAAGATGTGTGCTCATGTCAAACCTTTGCTGCTCCGTCTCTAGTCTGTGGAACTACGCCTCCCTGCATGGTAAGATCTACTGCAAGCCTCACTACAACCAGCTGTTCAAGGCCAAAGGGAACTACGACGAAGGCTTCGGCCATCGCCCTCATAAGGAGCTGTGGGAGCCTCGAGGCGACGGAGAGGAAAGCGAGGAGCCGCCAAAGCCCAAAGAGCGACCAGTGGAGGCGAAGCAGCCGGCTGAGAGCGTGTCCGAGCCGCAGCCGGATCCCAGCGGGGAAACGTCGCCACAGGTCAAGGTCACAGACATGGCCGCCTTGCTGGAGACCCGCACAAAAACGCGGGCCGGCTCCGGAGAGACGCAGCAGGCTGCAGACAAGCCGGCTGAGAAGCGGCGGCTGAAGGTGGCCTGGCCGCCTCCGGCCGGCGAAGACCGCCCTGGACCGCTGAGTCCGTCCGCAGACGACGTCCCTTCAAACAGAACCCGGAGGGCCAAGTGGCCCCCAGAGGACGAGGTCCACTCATCCTTCCAGAGCTCGGAGCAGGCCGAGCTGAAGAGCTTGAGAAGGACCTCGTCTCTGAAGGAGCGCAGCCGTGTGTTCACAGTCGCAGCCAAACCGAAACCGACTCCCACAGCCGCCGAGGGCCGCAGGGAGCCGCGGCGGCCACTCAGACAACTGCAGGACTGGAGGGCATCGCTGGAGGAGAAACTGCCATCTGAAGACAAACCCAAAGTAAACCACCAGCAGGAGGAAAAGGAAGAGCAGAGGATGAATCAGACGCCAAACGGAGGCGTGAGCACCCCGAAGGAGGAGAATCCCACTGAGGACGAGGAGGAACGGAAGGAGAGAGCGCAGGAGGAGCA